AGTTCTCAGAAGTGTAACTTAATAGTTACTGAAAATACTGCATGGAATTTATCAGTTAGACTGGTCTTTTGCTCAAAATATTTATTAGCTAGTGTCTGCCCAACCTCATGGAAACAGTGAGTCAGCAGTTCCTAAGGAAGGGATTATCAAGGCATAGAAAAGAGGAAGCATGAAAGGCACCTTATTTTCTTTTAAAGATCACAACAACCTCCTTGTCTGAGTGTCCACAAGCCCTTTCCCATCCTAGCAGGGTCATGTGAGTATTGGGGCCCAGTGCTGGAAGGAGGCATATCAGTGCATGGTCGTGACCCTGCTCCCCAGGCCTGGCTGTTCTGGCTTGAAGCATCTGCCAGACTCATTCCTGGTCCCACAGGCATCTTCTCACAAGACTGTATTAAGAAAAGGACCTTAACATAGGTAAACCCATGTTTAAAAAAAGTGCAGCAGTAGATCTGGTCCTCTGGCTACACCTTGAAGGGGTGCCCAGCCTGGATTTGCTGTTGCAGTGCCCTCTGCCCATGTTCCAATTAGAGAAACGATCTGGCCAACTCGGAATTCTTGGGGTTTAGTTAGTTTAGGCTAGATATTTTCTTAACCTTGGAGAAGTTGTTTTTATTTTTTTAAATCTAGGGATTAATTGGAGTAAACCTAATTACCTGTAATTTTATAACATCTCCCAGGCAGTTTTAATAGGCAAACAGGATTGAGAACTCTGTAGGCTCAATTAGGCACCTCCTTTTTCTTGGGGATTATAGTAAGTATAACATATAAGCTTCAAATCCTCTCCTCTGCCCAGAGGAACAGAAGCAAAGGGCATTGTAAGGTACAACAGGCTTTGCTGCCTGTGTGCTTTTGGAAGCCCTCCCTTTCACACACAATTTCCCCAGATAGTTAAGATAAGTTAGGGCCAGGAAAAATGCTTGTCTCAGCCGTTCATCAGATAGTGCAGGAATGGACACGGAAGGCTGCCGCCGGCCCTTCTCTGTCCTTGCCGCTCAGTCTGCCTTCCTCCCCTTCTTTCTGACCTTCATTCCCTCCACTCAGCTCACTTAACGAGTACTCTTTTTCTCAGCTGCCCTGGGTGATCACCTTGTTTCCTTACATTTTGCTCCTGGTGGGAGAGGCAAAGATGACACCTAGCTAGTCTCTAGCATGAACTGCTGAGTGCTTGGCTCTTCTGTTTCCCTGTCAGAGCCTCGAGTGCTCTTTTCAAGGTCATCTCTGCTAACCCAATGCACATTGCAATGGTTTTCAATTTCCAGCTGCCCCAGTGGGATCCGTTCCCAATACTCTGCATCCAGCCGGTGCCCTGCCTCACCACAGCAGCAGGAAATGCTCAGCTCTGGAAACGAGTGAGGGAGTGGCAAGGTGTTTCATATACCAAGCTGCCCTGTGTTGAAGAAGGTTGAAAAGGTATCAGTGTATGTGCAGTGCCCAAGCTGGCATTCCCACACTTACATCTGGTGGATTTTCAACCCAAGTCAAAGGATCAACAGGCTCCAATTACAGAGGCCAGGGATTCCTTGGAAGCAATTCAATGCAGTCATTTTGTTCACAGAAGACTCTCCACTGAGATGCCTTCCCTGACCTACTGGGGCTGGAGTGGTTTTGCATAGGTGTTCCCACAATACCCTGAACATGGTATTTGTGTATGGTTGGCCTCCCTCATGCCCCATGGCTGTGTCTCATTAAGATCAGAGCCCCTGAGAAGTTCAGCCATAAACATACTGTGTGACCATGTGATGACGTAGCGCTTGATGGTGGGAGACAGGTATGAGAAATGGAGAAGTTTGCACATCCTAATACTGTATAAGTGTGAAGGTGAAGGCTGATTTTGCTCCCTGCCTAGCATCTAACCCAGCTTCCTTGTAGAGAATAATTTTGCAAAGTATAAGTACAATGGTGGGATTTGGCCCTTGAGGTTGGGGAAGGGAGTGGGGGAACAGGAAGAACTTCTTAACACCAAAGCTTCACATGCTTTGCATGGGCAAGATGGTATTTTCAGCAAAGGCTCAGGGTTAAGCAAATTTTGGGCTGAGGACTTCTGCCACTGTAAGTCAGGGTCACCACAACACCTGCAAATTAGGCAATGTCCATTTTATTTGGCTTTATTTGGGTGAGGGGAAGGGGCCTTGTGTGACCTTGGACAGGCTACTGAAGCAAGACTGGGAAAGTAAGGTGTACCTTTAGCGAATGTCTGAGTAAAACCTGTTCTCTGGGGTTGAAGTTAGTAGATACAGCAGGGGTCATGGACATGACTTCATAGCCAGAGGGTCACTGGATTAGGAGAGCACTGTTCACTGTTGCTGCAGCCTTGGCCGAGCTCTAATTAGACTCGATCTTAGCCTTGTCTGTGCAGTGGAAAGATGCAGGTGTGAGGTGTGGGGAGAAGATCAAACAAAATAACAGGCATGAAGTTTCTTAGAAGATTCAGGGGCTCTGCAAACATTAGGAGACATGGTGGTCACAGGGTGGCTGTGCCCAGTGCTGCAGTGAAGGGCTGCCGAGGGGCATACTAAAATCTTGTATCGTAGCTCCTGGGAGCCTAGGAGGGTGCGACAGGCCATTGCTGTGCAGGTCGACTGTGTCCTCAAAGATTTCCTGTTCCTGGGGCAGGGGGTTGAGGGAATGGGAGGGTGTGGTCTTCACTTTCCTGGGGAAAGAGGAAGGAAGGAGGAACCAGTTCTGCAGTCCCTTTGAGGGCGTGCTGGGCTGGGGAGTGTCAGGGCAGAGCAAGGCTCTGACTTTCCTGGGATTCTCTCTCCTCTTCAGTAGGTGCTATCTCTATTGGCTCTCCCGACCCTAATGTCTAGATATTGTGAGAGTGCTTAAAATGTACTTGGGAAGCGTCCATAGCTCAATACAAGCATGACACGAGGCTGTATTGAAGTCGGCATGAAGTTTTGCAGTTCGGCTGTCATCAGATAGCAGAGAAGGGAGGAAATTGATACTCAGTGAGCTCCTACGTGGCCCCAGGCCTTGATCCTTCCCAGCCCTATGAGCAGTACGATGCCCCTTTATAGATGAGGTGCTAGGTGCTACTAGAGCTGGGGAGGGTCTAGGAAACCACTTTCTCAGAGAGCTTTGGCTTTCACACTAAAAGCAAATAATCATACAGAAGACTGTGTTATCATGAAGCTCAGCTGCAGAGATATGGAGGTGCCAGAGGCTGCAAAACCATCTGAAAAATATCATTGGCAATGGATCTTAAGAAGGTGCAACAACCTTCATTTTGCAGGTAAGGAAACAGACCCACAAAGGTGAAGAGATTTGCTTAACTTTGATGGCAAAATTGAAATGAGAACCCCAGGTTTTCACTCTTATTTGCAGAGACAGTTTGCCTTGCAAACAAGAGAATACTCTCTTCCTGTTTTGCCCTCCTCTCTCCCTTCCCCTTTTGCTACTATGCCATGAAGCACCTGCCCATCTCCATTCATGCGGGGCCCAATACCACAAGCTGATGTGCAAGTGGGAGGGTTGAACTGTACGGGCTGGACAGACGCTTATGCAGCCAGTGTTCCGGTTAACCCTGCCCTCTGCCCTCTTTCCAAATGTTCTCTCGTCTGCCTTTTTTTCTCCCCTTAACAAATATGTTTGTAGGGCAGCCTGCTGATTCTTTGTGGCCTCTAGTAGACTATGCCTCCTCCTACTCCCTTCTTAGCTTAGGACGAGCAAATATTAGCTTGCCATTACAGGTGGGTATAGAGTTCAACTTTGTCTTGCTCAAGAGACAACTTAAACAACCTCCAGTCCACTCCCTAATACCCTGTTCATCCTGGTCCGGGGTCCCTTTATTTAAGAACATTGTCTTCCTTCCTTCTTTCCATAAAGGTTTACTGAGTGCTCCTTCTAGACCAGCTGTGGGGATATAGCTGTGCACAGGTTGTCAGTACAGCACCCCACGGTGCTGTCCCAGGGTCCACAGTCTAGTGAGGGGAGACTAACAAGTTACTGAGCCACCACACTGGACTGTGAGGTGCCTGGCTGAGGGACACTTCACCCCCTCTGAGGGCTGGAGACTTCCTG